ATATTCAGCCTAGGAGCCATTTGTAACCGTATTTGGGCCAAGCATTCTTCAGTTCCATACTTGAATTCCTTTAAAACTCCCAGTTAATTTAATCTATTCATATGACTTAATCGAATTTCTCTTTTAAAAGTCTTAAAGTAAAATGGTAACGTCTTGATCAGTTTAGATGAATTTGTGTTTGGGAAAGTGAGTAGTACAATTCAGCTGAAATTTGGGGTGGTAAAAGAGTGAGAGAGAAAGCTGATGTGACAGCTCATTTCATCCAGAGGGAGAGATGAGAGATGAGAGATGAGAGATGAGAGATGAGAGATGAGAGATGAGAGATGAGAGATGAGAGATGAGAGATGAGAGATGAGAGATGAGAGATGAGAGATGAGAGAGAGAGAGAGAGAGAGAGAGAGAGAGAAATATATAGAGGGGAGTGGGGGTTATTTCGGAAGCGACATCTCATTACTCTTGTGGCCATATTCTATTAGTCAGAAGCAAGTCACCAGGTCCAGGCCACACTCAAGGGAGAATTACATAAGGGTATGACTCTCAGGGGCAGTAATGATTGGGAGCATTTTAGTGGTGGCCTATCACGTCTCCCTTTGGTTTGCTACAGTTTATTTCAACCTTATTCTGAAAAGGAATAAATCATGACATATTTATGTTACACGACATATGTAACATAAAGATTGCAACAATTTTTTAATTAAAATTTCTCCACATGCCACATATTCTCTGGCCCCAGTCCAGCATGTTTTCCAGGCTGTAGTGTAAGTTTGATGAGCTCAAACTTCTTACCTAGATTTTATATCCTAATTGTCCTTCATTTGTCCTCCAAAAGCTTTTAGATTTTTCACTGTTGCTCTTTACTACATGTGCCCCAAACCAAAACCATCAGTTTTCTATCTGTTAGGACTGAGCAATTCTCTTAAGACCAAGAAGGGAGAGTTGATAGAAATGCAATGTCAGAATATAATGGTCTAAACATTTTTTTCATCCTAACCTCATACTCATTCAGATACTATCCATTCTCAGTCAGGTAATTACCTGCAATTAGATGTAAACTTATACTAGATCTACTCGTGTAGATTTATGTCCACACATTCTACCTTCTCACCTGTTCAGGCTCCCAGCAAAGGCCACATCCTCCACTCAGGCTCTAGGACCCTCTCCTTTACCGGTTCAAGGTGTGGAGTCCACTCCTTCTAACACACTCGAGGATGTTGCTCTGGCAATAATCTTTCTTTTCTGAGTTGTCAAGTTTCCCACCTCCACTGGATGCGTCATCAGAATACCAACATGATGTGTGATTTCTCCTAAAATCTTTCTCGTGATCCTACTTACTCTTCCTGTGTATTTTCACTCATTTTTAAAGCAGAATCCTTGAGAGTGTTGTCTATAATTGCTGTCTCCGATTTCCTCTAATTCACTATGGAACCCACTCCCATCAGTCCACTGAGATGTCTTACCGAGATCGCCCGTGACCTTCATACTGCTCACTCCAGGGGTGGAGTCTCAGACCTCCCATGGGGCCTGTTAGCAGGACAGTCAGTTACCCTCTCCTCGCTGAAGCCGTTTCTCCTCTTGGCTTCCCACTCCCTTCGTCTTCGTGGCTTTCTCGTCTCCACAACCTTCCCGTGTTGGAGTAGCTTCGACTTCCTATCTACATTCATTCCCTTGGTTTTAAATAACACTTATATGCTGATGATTCCCAAACTGGTGTTCCCAGTCACAGCCTCTCTCCGAGCTCGACTTCCGTAATGGATTTCTTTACACAGGAAGAGGGGCAAAGATGACTTCAAAGTGATCTGAGCTTCAACAGAGACTGAAAGAACGTCCCTGAACTCCCCTCACCTGACTAAAGCAGAGCTTTCAGAGCGTCAGCTACCCAACCCCTCCCAAGTCTCTGGGTCAGGGAGGTGACTGACCTTGGACTCTGGGCCACTAAAAAGAAAAAAATCCCTTAAGTAAGCCTCACTGGAATACTTCCATCCTCCGAAGCCTTGAACCCCCCTTCTACCCTTGCTCTTTATGTAGCTGGTACGTAAACCTTTACTTCTAGCTGTTTGGGGAGTTACTCTGGGTAGAATGAACCCCTCACCCCAAGTTGTCCATAAATTTGCAGGTAGGTAACTAAGACCTAGTCAGGTAAAGTTTTCCTCCCAACAGTAACTTACCACCTAGTTGATATTTCTACTTGGTTGAAAACAGGCGCCTCAGACTTACTATGTCTCCAACTAAACTCTGATCTCCAGACCTCCATCCCTCAGCCCCTGCAGCCTCCAATCAGTTATGACTCACGTGCTCATCCACAAGCTGGTTTTCAACTTCTTTTTTGCATCTTATATCCAATCCGTCGGCAAATCCTATTACCTATACCTTCAAAATGTATCCAGAATCTGACTACTTCCCACCAGCTCCACTGTTACTGGCTGGTTCCCAGCCACGGTCATTGCTTGTCTGGATGACAGCAATAGACTTGTAACTGTCTTCTGATTTGGCCCCTGCTCCACCTGGGCTACTCTTAACACAGCAGCTTGAATGATCTTGTTTAAACGATCAGATCATCTTTCTGCTCGAAATCTCACTTAAGTCCTGACGATGGCCCACAAGGGCCTAGAGGATCTGCCTGTGCCTCCTCACCTCTATGACCTCCCTCCAACCCCTCTTCCCCTTCTCGTTCTTGCAAGACACTAGGTGGGCTCCCACGTCAGGCTCCAGGCACCTGCCATTCCCTCTGCCTGGAACACTCCTTTACCCACTTCATGTCCCCCCCCCCGCCCCCAAATATTACCTTAGTGAGGCCCTCCCTAACCAAGCTATTTTTAAATTGAAGCATTTGCACTCAACATTTCCCTCCTTCTATGCTGTTTTTCTGCATTTGATTTATCATTATCTCGTATGCTATATAATTTGTTTCTACTAAAAAGTCACCTCCGCTAAGGCAGGGACTTGTTTGGCTCACATTGTATTCCTAGGTCCTACAAAAGTGTCTTCTTCCACTTAGTAACTCCATAAATACTTGTTGAGTGTGAGGGAATAAGTGAATGTGTGAGAATTAAAACCTATTCATGGGTTGAAAGAGAAGTTCTGAGATGCAGAGCGCCTGAACTTTGCACTTGACTTTCCTTCCCCCAGGAAAACCTTGAGGATATATTGTGTAGAAGCAATGCTGGGCGTTGGATGTACAGCAGGGAATAAGGTAGAGCTACACACTCCACATATGGTTTTATCCCATAACTGTAATAGTGAATCTGTTTGTAACAGAGGACAATATGACCTACCAGTAGTGTTAGAACAGTAATCTGCTCTGGGACTCTCATCCTTCAAATCCACCTTCGTGTTCAGCCCAGCTTTTTGCTTTACGTAGGCCTCATCAGTAACTAGCATTTGAGTGGGTGGATGTGAGCGCATGCACACACACTCACACATTTTCTTGCCTGGAAATCTTCAGATGAGTTTTCTTAGTATGGAAAATAGATGGTCCTTGAACAACAAGGTTTGAACTATGTGGGTCCACTTATACTCATTTTTTTCCCCCAATAAATATATTGGATTTTTTTTTTTTTTGAGATTTGTGACAATTTGAAAAAATTCACAGATGAACCTTATGACTTTAATAACATTTTCTTTTCTCTAGATTATTGTGGGGATAGTGCTTAACATATGGACATACAAAATGTGTTAATCAATTGTTATAGGTGCGGCTTCTGGTCAACAGCAGGCTATTAGTGGTTACGTTTTTGGGGACTCAAGTTTTATTAAGATTTCAGTTGCATGGGGGTGGTCGTTCAAGGGTCAACTCTACTCTTTCCTACCACCTTTCCTGTATTGGTATTTAGAGTGCAAAGTATTATTATGCCCTCCACATGTAATGAAGTCTTTTTGCAGAATTTTCAAATTATCCCTTCTTCCTGCCATCATTGTGACCTAAAATATCTTGCTTAGCTGGCTAACATCATCAGTGATTAATTTTGTGATCCACAAGCAGCCATACTTCTTGCTGCAACTCAGCCTTCACATTAAACCTGTATATTATAAACATATTTACTATAGCCCCACTTAGCTCGCTTATCTTTCACCCTTTCCCAACTGGAACTCAGTTCTACTTACATTCCATACAGTCACTGCATAGATGTGCATTGCCATCTCAAGTGCCTTTGCTGTGCCCTCAATCTAGGTCTCATGTTTTCTCCAGGATATAGCTAAAATTTACTTTTTTGAGATATTTTTTGGTGGGGGGGAATGCCTTGGTCCAATATCATTTCTCGATTTTAAATGCCTTAACAATTCATGACGTTTCACACTATGCTGATTTGTTTATATATTGCTTTGATTTGCTTTCTGGTAATTTCTGTTAACGTAATCTCCTTGATTTTTCTTTTAAAAAATACCTGTGCTATATTTAATATAAAGAATAGATAAAATCAGCAATTTGAAAGCAATTTAGGGATGAGTAGTTAACTACTGAGGTTTAAATTGATTTAACAAGAAATTATCTTTTGTAACTTATATAAATGTCTAACCACTATGTTGTACACCTGACACTAACAGTGTATGTCAATGGTAACAAAGAAAGCGCAACTGTCAATTACTGGTCTAAGTGGAAACCTTTACCATGGAATATGAATGTACTGGTGGCTGTTAGGTGCATGACAGATGGAACTGTTACATTATTTTCCAGTCACATCTCAGATGCATAACCTACTTTTGCATTCTTATCATTTATTCATAATTGCGTTTTTATTTGGGCACATGACTCATTTTCCTCTTTTGGCTTCCCTCCATAGACACTTACAATATTGAATTCGTTCGGACTATGTGAGAAATGGGATAGTGGTTTAGGAAAGGTGGGAAAATTATGCGTTAAATCAAACGAAGAACTGTAGTTTATTAAAAATCTTAAGGCACTTAAGATTTTTAAACATAAAAAACACTTTATTTAGGCTTGTAACGCAACAGTTCATAATTGACTCCCCCCCCGCCGCCCCCAGTCTGAACTCTCAATATGGGATCCCAGTTTACATGGGTGAGTAGCTGCATCCCATTAAAAATAAATTCGTAGTAACCTTAACTTCATTGCCAGATTAAGCAAAAGGGGATATTGTACCCTAAGCAGAATATTCCTAATTCCTCTGGGTTGAGACAGGTTTATCCCCAAATTCCATTTAAGTAACTGAAAACTGTTGGCAATCATCTTAACACTTTCCGGGGCGTCAGCATGAGGCCAGCGAACGGTTCTCATTCTGCATAAATGATTTTTAACGTTGACACGTGCTTGGAACCACAAGCACTGGAAGGGTCTGAACAAGGCGCTTTAGATGAGGAATCTAAAGTAAATGTAACGTCACTCTTGCCCAGGTTTCTAAGGCGAGGGGCACTGCGGGCTTGACCAGCGGGCCGCGGGGGATCGGAGGTCGGCCGAAGGGGCAGCGCCAGACAGAGAGGTAACGGGTGGGGCGCTCCGCTCGGCTGGCGCCGCGT